CCCAAAAAACCAAGATGTCAGCAATGAAAATGTCACATCTGGTTAAAATTTACACAACTGAATAAATACACCCTCAAATGCAGATATTTAAAAGATATTTTTTAATAGTGCACCGAAGTATGAAAACAAGAGTTGCAAAATAAGACTATTCAAGAGCTTAGGTTGGTATAAGGTTAGCCTTCGTTTAGGTTGTATAACATCCTCAGCATCAAAGACACTTTAAAGACAAAGATAACACTCAGACAGTAAAGACAAAACAAAGAACCTGAGAAAGAAAATCAGCACTCCACGAGCACCATGATAAGACAGAAATAATCAACGCTTTTCAGGAACCATCAACTCTCAGTGTTCAAACCTGAAGTCGTGGCTGAAAGATGGGACTGACTGATTGGCAAAAAACACAGAAAGTGCAATAATTTTTCTGTCACTTAAAGTGCTCAACTCGTTAATTCACCCTCACAGAACGGCTATTACCTCCTCCACTCGAAACGCTCAGTCAAAGACGAGTGCAGGAAAAAAAAAACAACACCATAAAGATGCACATATTTAAAAGGATGAGGGGAACAACATCAGCAGCTCAATTCCATCGGTAGTGCTGACATGACCAACACTGAGGCTGATGACAGAACAACAAGGCTCCTTCTTGTCACATAAAATCACAAGCACAGTAAATATTTTTTCTTCACTTAAGATGTAAAATAAAATCACACACAGTCCAGTTCAGGTGGTGAAATATCAGCGAGTTTTGGCTGCAGAGCGAAAGCTTCCTGTGGCGGCAGTCGTTCCAGAAGACACGGATATAAAATATGAATCTTTAGTGGTCATTTGTAGGTCAAAAATAAAACAGTTCCATGTACATGTTTCACTGTGTACACTATTTACAAACCTTTTTAACAAAGGAAACTGCAGACAACTGTTTTTATTGCACGAAGGCGATCACAAAGTTCGGTCACTCCAGTCTGGTTTGATTTCGGTTGATCTCCCCTTCAAGGTAGTTTCCTCAGGAAACACTGGACCTCTTCTAACACAACTATAAGCCAAGAACACTCCTTTAGTATCCAGCTCTGACTGCGTACTTTCACTTCTGTGTATCCATTAGTGTGCCTGTTTGTTCCAGGGTGCCAAACCTGGCCAGTAGGTGGCACTGCGAGAGAAGATTGTGCTCTTAAACGACCTGAGTGTCACTGTGAACACCCCAACTTAAAAAAAACCCCCAAAAAACTAAATAACCTGACAGACGAACTTAAAGTGATGAGAGAAAGAGTAAAGGCAAACGTGCCAAATGCTGCTGTTCTTTCATTGTCCACTGGAGCCCCTGAACTCAACCTCCAAACCTTTCTTGTGCTGTTTGAGGCTTCTGGAGCATTTTAATGCAGTTACCTCATTAATTATAAGGCTTTCTGAGAGTTGCAGTCGGTCCAAGAAGTTAATGCATCAGTTGAGTGAAGTTCTAGTATAACCGAAAAAGCTTTGGCTTTCGATTCCTCCTGTTTTCCCGCAGCATGTTTCAGAAGACTGATAAGTTCCTGTTCCGTACTGCTCAAAGTCACTGCAAGCTGATGAGGAGGGCAGGAAGTCAGACACAGGAACAGCTTAAATTTAAAAATAAAAGATTATGGAGTCGTTAAACGCTCCCAGTGTGACTTGAAGCCGTGCAAAGGACGGAAGAAAACAGTGTCATGGACATGTATCCGACAGATTCCTCGGGTAAGGCTTCAAAATGGGTGACATCACTGTGGCTACGTTGATTAATTCCTTGTGTGCAACCCTGTAGATGCAACTCTGTGCCCTACGTGATCTAACAACCGTGTAACTGTCCCAAAATCAAATGCAAACAATCAAAACAGGAGGAATTTCCAAGGAGTCGGGGCGCTGGAAGAGGTCCAGAGTTTCACTCAGAGACGACCTTAAAGGGGAGATGAGCTCGATCCAAACTTGACGTGGGTTTTTATTTTTAGGAGCAGAACTTTTTTTGAAGGCTTTCTATCCCGTTTGGAGCTCGTGTTTAGAATCCAGCACTGAGGAAACAAGACGTGGTGCTGTCCTGTTCGGCTGTAGTGTTGTCTGTCTAGTGTTTATAAAGTGGAGACACAGAGGTCGCTCTGACTACCCGAGCCGCCCCCGCTGGGTACCAGGAGCTCGTCCGTGTCCAGCGTTTCCAGTTCTGCCAGATCTCTGGTCGTGAAAACAACTCAACAACAGTTATGCGTCACAGGAACCATTTGGAAATAATAACAACACTTTGTGTCCAATAGATTGTCATTTCTTAGGATCCTTCAGTAGACCAAAAGGAAGTCTTCTCCCATATTAACGGTTTAATTTGGCAATATCACTGATAATGAAGTCCTGCATCTTGAGTGACGTACCGTTTCTTTCTTTTAGACACACAAAATAAGCAAAAATGAGGAAATCTTTAGTCTGTAGTGTTGGATGGAAGCATGATGATAAAACCGAGCTTCCAGAACTAAATCTGAACACTGTAGAAAATAAATAAGATGTAATGGGAGGCACTGGGGGTACGTTCAATGTCTCTGAAAGCTTCCCGATTGTCAGCTCAGCCAGATCCACGATGGCCGCCCTGCAAAAGAGAAGAAAAAAACGTTGTCAGAGACAAAAACTGTGCGCTTACAGAAACTCAACATAACAAAAACTTCCCATTTTAATAGGAAACACTTTCACTGCCAGGCTTCAAGAAAACAAAACACAAGACAAAAAGAAGACGTTTTATACCAGCAGTGATCACACCTCAGCCTGCTGAAGCAACACTGATTAAACATGCCTTGAAGGTCATCAGTTACAGTAGTTTACCTGAAATATCCCACCTGCACAGGTTGTAAGACCCCTTTAAATTTGTGGAACAACACTGTGTGTCCTCTTATATTATTTGAATATTTTTCCTTATTATCATACTTGCATTGTATAAATTATCCAAGTAAGTAAAATATAAAACACTTTGCCCGGGTTGTTGGAAGGTGGCGTTGTCTGAGAATACAAGAGTTTGTGGCACTGTTACATGATGAGCTGATACTTGATCTGTAATGAAATAGTAAGATCAGCATTTATTATTGGGTGACAGTCCTGTTAGAAACTGCACGCTGAGGTCAGATCCCCTCAGCTCTGCTGCGAAATCGAATCATAGCTCCACTAAAGCAATGACCAGAGACAAGTGACTTCTATCTAAAATATTTAGGCTGGACGTCGGACAGATGTTCAAGGCAAATGGCTAACTCTGGTAAATATTATCGGCTTGTTAAGGGAACAAACCTGTCACAGGATTTTGCATTAAAGTGGAAGTTTTTTTTAGGCTGCCAAGCTCAAAGCAAAGTGTGGACATATTATAATGTGTTTTTGAGGATGAGACGTGAAATGAAATAACATCTATTCCTTATGGTTTCCTTTTCTTTTATTTCCTTTGCCTTCAAACTACACTGAGGACAGAAAAAAATGTGGAAAACCGAAACAATGAGCTAAAAAGAGACTAAAAATCCAATACGTTTCTATTTGGATTTCTCATTGTCGGTTTTCACACTGCAGAGGGAATTTAGGTTAGAAGTAACTATGAAGGACCAAAATTGCCAAAATCCAAACTAAATAAATGTCTGAAAAGAACAATAATACACCAGTAAATCCTCCAAAAATATCTTTATCAAAATCATTTATGACATAGATTACTACTATTTTAATTTCCCTCTGTATTTCATTAACTTTATTTTAATTCCCCTATTTATGTAATTTCCAACACATTAATTAATACTAGGGTTTCTTCTTCTAAAAAGAAATCCTACCTTCCAGTACCATTTTCAGATTATTGTTATACATTTTTGCCTTAGTTTGTTCCTTACTTTTATTGGCAATAAATTAAATAAAATACAAAATTAACTTAAACACTTAAATCTAAGAGAAATGCCAGGAATAAATTGTTCTATTAAATGGGGAAAATAGTGAAGTTTAGGACAAAACATAATATGTTTATTAATCTGTCACAACTGAATTGAATTTTAAATTTAATTGAATTTGGTCTCTTTAATACAATATTAATACTGATGGTGAATTATATTTTATGCTAGTGCATTTTGTGGCAATACATAATTAATTAATAATAATTGTGGCCATAAGTTATATTAAGAATTCTAAATGTTAAAAGAAATAAGAAAATTAAATTCATATTTGAATTAAATATCCAAAGAAAACATGAAATTAAATTAAAGAACATTAAATAAATATAGAAGACAAACATAATTTTCAAAAGCAATTATGTTTTAATCAAATTACTTTAAGTTTTTTTGGGGGTTTTTTGACCACTTTAGGGGCAAGACAAAATAAAATTAGTTTACTTGCTTTAATTAAAAAGCAAATAAGGATCAAGGGAAAAAATAATACAAAAATATATACTACATGTACAAAATAGAAAATTAAATAGGTAATTGTATATTAAGAGTATTTATTTGTAACATTTGCGCTGATTTAATGGAATATTTATTTTGCTATTGCTGAATGAGCGAGTCTCTTATTTGTTTTTGTTTATTCACATTTTAATTTGGACAGTTTCGGTCCTCCGTATCCTGCAGCACCATCAGTCAGTCAGAGTACACAAATGACTACTTTTGATTTGTTATTCTTTCAGTCTAAGATTGAATCTAGCAGCCTTTCACAAACACAAATACAGACGTAAACAGCGCACAAACCAAGACCAGAAAAGGTCGAGTGGGATTTACATTTTGTTTGACTGCCGGATCACGAGCAGAAGCTTCCTTCGCCAGGGGAGACGGTGTGGAGGGGAATAAGGCTTTCACACTGCTCGCTGTCATCTGGCAGCCTGCGGATGGAGAAAACAGGATGTCAATCATCATCACAGTCGTCATCCTGACAACCATCATTATTATTATAATCACCGCTAACCAAAAAGCAGAAGAGCGCTGTGCAGAGAGGTTAGTCAGTGAAGCATGTACAGCTGATTACAGACTTAACTTAGCAAGACTGCAAGCCACAAATGGACTGCATTATCCAAAGTGTGTGTCAGAGTGAAGGTCAATCCATTTTTAATAGGTCACACACCACAGACGCACAACAACAACTCACTTTCTTTTCACAAACTTAAAAGCTTTGACTTCTTAAAAACACCAGGCGTGTGATGACTCACTTCCTGCACAGGCTTCAGAGTACATTAGCTTTGCCTGCTCTCAGGTGTGTGCACAGCTACAACTTCCATCTGCCTTTTACAAACACACAAGCCATTAAGCAGCTTTTTGCAGCTGCATCACAAATGACACAGCCGCTACATTTGGAGCCTCACTGTACACAAATAAAAGTGGATAATACAGACAATTTGTGCCCATAAAGTCCAAAAAGACTCATTTGTTTCAAATGATGTGCTCTATTTTTGCTTTGTTTTTTCACTTCACTGATGTTCATTTGCTCAAATAAGAGTTTGAACAAACGCATTATTGAGAAATTAAAATGCATTTGGCTCTAGTCAAAGTGTAATTACATTTATGGTTATTCATCCCAAAAAAAAAAAAAGCAAAATTCTGATCAAATTTACTTATTTTCCTAATATTCCACCAGCCTGTAAGTTTTTTGTTTTATATATTTTGGTCATTCTTACAATCACCAAACAATTACACTCACTACCTATCAAGTTATCAAGCATGTGGTTGCACTAACTTGTCACATCTCAAAGCACTAAGATGACGACGGAGAAAAGGCTCCTGTCAAGCTGGGTGGGCACGTCCATCTTTTACGTACAGTCTGTGTTCCGGAGCCAACCTTATAAGAGGAGTTTCAGTTTTCTACACTTCCTGACTTGGTTTTCCAGCCCCGGAGCATAACTCCTAATCCTAATTTAGCTGTTATCATATCTGAGATTATTGTCACAATCCATGAACAGAGTTGCTGCTGATAGGAACGGCTTTCAGCAGCATTTCCTCTTTTCATGCACCGTGGCTCACCAATGGAGGCTTTAAAAGAAGAAAAACCCTCTGATGATAAATGTTTATAGTCTCGTACCTCTGAATGCGATGCTTCCTGCAGATGAAGGCGTAAACCCTCCTCAGCCCCACCAGCACTGGGTCCCAGTTGTTGTAGTGACATAAAAGTGTGGCGATGAAGAAGGAGAGGAAGACAGGGACCGCTCCGGCAAAAAACAACCACGAGAAACGCACCTGTCGACACACACACATATGAGGGGAAACTAATTTAACACAATCCGTGCCATTAAAGGTGTGGTGTGGAGTGTTTTCCATGCATTAAACATTTTATTCTGTGATTAAAGGACCCTTATAAGAATGAATCGCAAAGAGTTAGTTAAAATAGATAAAAATACTTTAAGTAAACCCATTCGGAGTCATTTAGATACAATTTTGACAGTTTTCTTGCTGATTTCACACAAAACCAACAAAATTACGTACAATTTTATCTCAAACTCTCACCTTCTGCATGCAAATGTCGGCCATAATGGAGAGTGGGATGGTGAGGCTCAATGCCAGAGTCCCAATTAGAGAAGATGTGAGGAAACAGCCCCTGAGGACACAAAGACTCGTCACTAAAAATCACCACTTCTCTGAAAGCTATACATTATTCAAACACAACTCCTCGTGGCCTTCATGGTAGTGTGAACGTTGATGATTTGGTGTCACTATCGTGACCTGATAGAAAATGTAACCCAGCTCACCAGAGCCAGAGGAACTCGGACAGAACGGTGCCGATGAGGCCGTTTATGAGGATGTACGTCCACACAAGTTGGCTGGGGAGCTCAAAGGCCTCGAAGCCGGTGTAGTGGAGCAGGAGGAAGCCAGGCCACAGCAGCAGCAGGTTGAACAGACCCACAAACCCTGAGAGACGCACAGCACACCCCAATTTAGACAACTTCATGGAGTGAGACTACAGAGGTGACCGCTGAGCCCTTAAAACAAACACTTCTCCTACCAAAGAACATTGGGATGTCAAGCTTATCCTCCCGATCCACTCGCCGCTTGATCATTACGATATAGACGGCATAGAGCATCGCCCCAGCCAGCGACCACAGGGAACCTTCATAGAAATACAAATCATTACATTAGAT